ATTTCGCAATGATAATTGTGTTGACTTTTACGGAGAGAGAGGAAAGGAGAGAAAAAAAAGTAGAAAAATAAAAGTTTGCTCGCTCTCTCTCTCTCTCTCCCATGCATTCGTTCGTTCGTTCGAGTTAAGAGCTTTTACGCGTTTCGCGTCCACGCAACTATACTCGACGCGAGCATGATGCAAATTGCATAATTTTTTACTTAATTAATCGGATAATTGGAAACATAATCCATGCGCCAGCGCGCGCGCATACACACACACACGAACGCATAATATGTAATAATATTTTTGCATTCCCTCGGATCGGAGCCCGACACGTAGTGCACGCGGGCGCACTCTGCAGCGGTGTGCGTGCGTAACGCAATCGGCGCGAGTGAGAGTGACGCCGCCGCCACTGCGACCCGAAAACAGGTCAAACGTAATAAAAATAAAAAAAATAAAGGAAAAAAAAAGAAGTAAAAGTTCATCCTTGACTTGATTTATAATTTATTTTTTTCGTTAATATACTTCGACCGAGCGCCGCACTCGAAGAAGAAGAAGAAGAAGACGAGTCGCGCGTAAAAGCTCCCGCACGACGAAAGTTCAATAATAATCGCTGGCTCGGTTTGTATCGTTTCAAGGACACCGTCGAATCGTACGTATGATATCGTATGTGCCGCATATAGGAGAGCTTTCACTCGCGATTCTCACGACAAAGTTCGCGCGCTGCATTATCTTCGATGAAAATATAATGCAACTCGGGAACTTATCGAAGCGCGCGCGAGCGCGTTGCAACAATGTTTGCGATCGGTGTTTTTATCAAATCCGCGCTCGCAGTTGCGAGTGCGCTTCGACGTGATAATACCTATCATCCAATTGTTTATTACTCAGCATCTCTCGACCGGCTGAAGCACTTTTTTCTTTTTACATTTTTTAAATCCAATTAGATTATAGGCGATAAAGATCCGCGCAACTTTCGGATAAAAAAGAGGCGATCGTAATATTTCTTTCTTTATCAAATTTCTTTCTTTTTTTTTTTGCGTTAATCTCCTGTTTTCTTCTGCGAATGTGTATCGTGCTATTCTCAATTTTTCCTGCATTATTCTCTCTCTCTCTCCTCTGCTTTATAGCGTATTTTTGCACTCGGGGGCAATTAAACTCGAGCTCGTATGTGTGTATGTGTATGTGCATCACGAGGTGGAGCGTCTCACCTCTCTTCTTCTTCGTCGGTGGCGCTCAAGGCCCTCGCGCTCACCGAGGCGTACTTCCACTTCTGATTAGCTTCCTCCTTTTTTCCCACATTGATTGCAGGCTCCACATAGTAGACGTCCCAAACCCTTTTACTGTATACACTCTCTTGAACATCGTTAACTTTCGAAATTTTCATTATTTTTTCTTACTTTTTACGAGAAAGAGTACGCGGCAGGAGGTGAGGGAGGAAAAAATAAATCTCGTTCTTGAATAAAAACTTATATGTAAGTGTATGTCGTCGTCGTCGTCGTCGTCGTCGTCGTCACGTCGTATGTAATACGCACATGCACGCAATGACTCGCGCTTATACATTTTCTTTTTCATCCTCTTTCAGACGCGCACACGCGAGCTGCGAGAACCGCGGCACTCGTCGTCGCGTATATTGCACTTGTGCGCGAGGCCAGGGGCAGGTGCATCAAAGCGATAAATCTCTCTTTCCCTTTCTTTCTCCCTTTCCGTTGGAAAATTTCATTTCTATATAGTATACGCTCGCAGTACACGTATAAAATGAAGGTGTGCTGCCGCATACGCGTATACTTTGGGCCGGCGCACAGGCGCGCGTGCATCGCACGCAATTTGCACAGGCATTCCTTTATCTTTATTTTCTCATCTATTCGTATATATATGGTGCAGGAGCCCTTTTTCCTGGCATCAGCAGTCGGGGACCCGCTCATTTCACCTCGGCTTCTTTCTCTCTCTCTCTCAGCTCGTTCTCTTGTACTTACTACGTATGCATTTAATATACATGCAGCTCGCTCGCGTATCGCCCTGACTTATCTCTTTCCCTTTTTATCCGCTCTTCTTCTTCTTTCTCACCTCGACTTTGCGCTAGCTGCTGCTGCCTTTGTGGGAATCACAAAAATTTATGTAGCCGAAAGAAAATTCTCCACTGCTATCCCTCGACTTCCGGCGAAAAATTTTCAACCTCGCGCGTTTCTGTGTATATCCACGCCTATGTGTAAGAGAGTCCGATAATCTGCTGCGCTCACGCAGTCGTGCTGCACAGCTCGCAATCTTATCGTTTTATCCTACATGCATACAAAGCACTGCGCTATACGTTCGCAACTTGTTCCACATTCTTGTCGTGTGCTGCTGCTGCTGCTGCTGTCTCTTATCCCGCCTCGAGCGCGTAGCGAATTTCCATGTTCAGTTTTATCGACTTCGGGCCGCCAGCGCGAGTATACGGAGCCGCACACCACTCACACAGCTTATAATTTCGAGCTGACAATTGGAAAAAGTCGCGTGCGCAAGTCAAATGTATTTCGTCATTTAAATACCATTCGATCGTGCGTTCGGCCCGACCGAAACGTTACATATACATGCGGTCGAGGAATCGCGCGCTGAACTTGAGCTATTTTTACGACGTATTTATAGAGATACGCATTCGGAGTTCTTTTCTTTTTTTGCTTGCTCGCGCGGCAGCGATCGCAACCTGTTGAATCGAGCAGTCTGGCAGTCTCGGCTCGAGCTCGAGAATAACCGCGTGCTCGCAACGACTTAGTGCACCGATCGACGCACCGGCTACATATATAGAAAATTCAAGCGATAATGCGCTCGCCCGCGCGTGCATCGAATATAAAATCGAACGAGCTCTCGGTGGAATTAAGCTTTTTAATTTTTCGCCTTCTGATTCGATAATGGTATTTATACGCGCGCCTTTTTTTTATGCCCCGCGCGAAAGTATGTGCGATAAGAGATTAGAGAGAGAGAGAGAGAGAGAGAGAGAGACGTGCTTTTTTTATCACGCAGCCTAGTACGCACACGCGTAACCTAAATTCTAAGACCAAATTGCTCGCTTGACGCTGCAGTTATACGGGTACACGCGCGCGTGTACTTTACCTTATACGCGAAAAATATATACTCTACAAGAGTTTTGGAAAATTTGACGAACTGAGAATCGAGCAGAGAACAAAAAAAAACTTTCACTCTCGTTAACGCACACACTGCACGTGCGCGATTCGTACAAATTTTCATCTTTATGGCGAAAAAAAAACGCCAATATTATTCTTTCGCAATGCACGTACGGAATAGGTGTGCGCGCATAATGTAAACAAATAACACACAATGAGAGATCTATGGCTCGTAAAGACTCGTGTGTCGCGTAAACTTTCACGGTAAGAGAGTCGCGCGTGTAAAATGACATTTGGGTCGTACGAGAGAGGCAGTAAACATATTTACGTGCCCTGCGAGAAAATGATTTTTTTTACCCCACAAAACTCTGGAAAAAAATCGATCGATTTTCCCGGTAAAGAGTGCGAGCGAGCGATAGTACGAAAATCAATAGTACAAAATTGACCCACACGTGCTGTATTCACATGTATTACGCACGCGTATGTGTACATTAACGTGCCGCGGCACATGAGGTTACCACTCGCTCTTGAGTACTCTCGCTCTCACATTCAATATTATTATACTTATTATATGTCATAATGCGAATTTTTTCGGGCGTAATTACATGGGTGCGAAAAAGCTCATATATCTAGACTCGACCATAAAATAATCATACAAATGGCTTTCGCGTATCGATTCAATTAGCATAAACATTCTGACTATGCGACGAGGTAAAATACGTATTTTTTTTTCATATGCGTCTTTTAATTAATGTATTATGTATATAATGTAACATACGCACACACGTGAGTGTGTGTATGTGACGCGATGCGCTTATTATATTAATATCTAATACCATTGATTACGTGACCTCATCAAAGCGATAAAGACTTTCATTACGGCGAATAACTCTTTTTTTTTCACTTTTTTTTTATCAGTTTTCATTTCTCAATTGCGCGCGCACGCACTGCGTCTGTCTCGCGTCTCGACGCTGCAGCTGAATCTGCACCAGCTGCAGAAGCAGTGCAGCTTACGAATGAGACTCAAGATATCGAAAAAAAGGTAAATAATTTCCGCATGCACCTTTTTCGGCGTCGCGTTCACGCATGTAAATAATGACAGCATTATATATGAAAAAAAAAGATCGCTCTTATCATCGCGCTCGCTCGAGCGCGCAAAAAAAAAGATTTATCAATGAAAATGTTTACCCTTGAGTCTTTTGATTTATTTAATCCGTGTACTCGACTGATTTCCGTCAAAATAAACATGAGTTCCGCAATGGCACATAATCATTTCGTCGACGACGACGACGACGACGACGACGCGTTTGTACGCGCGACGAGTGAAAGTAGCTTCGATGATTTATTTTCGTTTTGTTGTACACGACGTCGGCGGCAGCGACGACGACGACTACTATCGCGCCAACAATGAGCGATAAGCGCGACCAAAACGTGATCTCGTTTGCATGCACGCGTCTCTTTACGATCTTTTTTTTGCTCGCCTCCTTTTTTTTAGCGAAGTATGAAAAGACAAAAAAGCCGGACGCAAGTCGATATAATATCCTCACTGATATTACATTTATTAGAGTTCACTATGTCTTTCTCCGATGATAGTTTGAAGAATGCAACAAGTTGTTTATGACGGCAAAAAAGAAGCATTTCGTTTCGGAAGTGTCATCGCTGTGTACACATTCTCGATGTAAACAAACTTTCTTTGTGAGTTCGCGCGCGCGTGAACGACGCAAACAATAACAAACGCATTCGGAGACTTTTCGAAGAAAATATAATTTCATCGACTTTTTTTTTTAAACGTAAACAAACTCGGTCTCTGCCGAACGTTACTCGAAACGACTCCGTGCACAATTAATCTACCTCTTACATGCGTGTATTGTATTCGTACGAAACTACATAAGCGTCAATACATAATACTCGATGACCAACCTGTCAGTTGCTGTTGCTGCTGCTGCCGATGTGCTGTGTGTGTTAACCACGTGCTCGCACGCTCGCTCCGCAGGCGCTCTCACTTTGTGTATTTATGTATTTGCGCACGTCACAAAATATAATCGTCACGCACTTTTCCTCGTGGAAAAGCCGAGCTTTTGTTTCAGAATTTTTTTTTTACTTCTTTCTTTCGAACCAAAAAAAAAAGATCACTTTGTTATTTTTCTTTCTCTCTCTCCTGCGCGTCGCTCTTATTTTCCTTTTATCTTGGCCAAGTCTTGTCGTTGGGGCCAGGCACTTCGAAAGAACAACCGCGCCGTCCTTTGAACACTCGTTTATGCGAATCAGGGCCCTGTATTCCGCACATTTGTCTCACTCGCGCACATCGATGTTACAATATCTCAATATATATTCGATAAATATATAGAAAAGAAAAACAATGGGCGTCGAACAATCACACTGAAAAAAATCAATTTGGCACTGTGTCAAGCTGGTACACGAAAAATCCTCCCAAAGTAAGTTGTGCGTGTGTCAGCTGGTCCTCATGATTTCGTTTGTTTCTCACTTTTTCCAGCCTCGCTCGAAGCCGTCAATTTTCACACATGCTGCCTATCGCGTTGGAAATGTGTATTGCAAGCACTGGAGACCGGAGGAGAGTGGGGTGGTGTATACCGCGCAACTACTGTACGTATCAAACTTGCTCTCTTGAATATGCGAAAGAGACAGAGAGAAAGAGAAAGAGAGAGAGAGAGAAAAAGATAGCGTAGAAAGAGGCAGAGAAACAAGCCCCCACAGAAATGTGTATATATAGTCGGCTCAAGGACTCGACGTGAAAGAAACACCACGGAACGGCAGAAAGAGGCCTATTCCTTTCTCTTTATCCTTTCGCTTTGCGCTGGGCCTTCTTTTGCGCCTTGTTGCTTATACACACTTCTCTCTCTTTCTCTCTCGCGTTGTGTGTTGGCTCCGGCAGCGCGGCGGTGTATATCTACTTTTTCCGCCGATGTTATACATATATATGTATATCTGTGTTAGTGTGCTGCTTGCCGCATGTATATATGCGCTTGCTGCCACTTGCACACAGCAGAAACACAGAACGTATAGCAGCAGCAGACACAAACACGCGGGGCGCACACAGACACAGACACACACACTCACGTACTACACTTGTGTATATACACTCTTGCGGAGAGTTTTCGTAATCCACCTTTTACGAAACTCGCGCGCACAGCAACACACACCAAGCAGAGACTATAAGCGCGCGAGCGAAAGAGTAAAAGTGCCAGGCGCTTACTTATACTTTATTATAAACTCGCGCGCGCTCGCTGCACTTATATATAACTGTGTATATGCAACTCTATCGAAAGTATTTGTGCACGTTCCGTTGCGTCTGTTTCTCTTTTCCTTCGCTCTTCGTTATTTTCCTCTCCTCTCTCATCTGCACATCTCTGGGCGATCGGGGAGTCGAAAATGTTGACAGGTCGGTGGTATGGCTCGCGCGATGCAAGTTACGCAAGCTCCCCCATGGCACACACGGTCTATATTCGTTTTTTTTTTTTTTGTTGGGACGAAAAACAATCACCTTTTTTCGGATAACGCACGCACTATTTGGCACACAGGCACACGATTGTATTATTTTTATTTTATGGCAAAAATTTTTTTGCTCTATCTATGCACTTTTCCACACGTAAAACGAATCACAGATGGACGTGTCGACGATCGCGCGCCTGTCGAATCTCACGATGCACATGATCGTGGTAGCAGCAGACTGAGAGAGCTTTAAAAAATCAGCAGCAGCTAAACACTGCCACTGTCAAAACACAATCCTCGAAGCTTCAGGCATAAGCGTACGAGGTACATATACGAAGAACGACGACGGGGCGCGCGTACGTACATGCACACACGACGAATATATATATGCTGCGTTTGTGCAGCGGTATATATATAAGTATGATGATAATATTTAAAAGCAGTCCACGAAGGAGTGGTTGGTTTGGCGTGGTGTGCCGTGTGCTGTCGGTAGTGTGTAGTGTAGTTGCGCGCGGTCTCGCGTCGAATTCGTAACTGAGCTCGGCTGCGCGCTCTCGACTTTTACTTTTCAAAGCTCTTACACAACAAGGCGCGCGCGCGCGCTCACTCGCTCGCTCGCTGCTCGAGCTGTGCTCGCACCAACACAGGCTCACACGCAGCAGCAGCAGCAGACATGGACACAGACTACTGCCATGCTATGTAGCCGTCACAGCCGCCGCGTGTATATTCGCTACTATATATATATATATATATATATATTAACGCTTACGCACACTCACACATGCGTGTATATCTGCACACGCTCGCGCTCTCCGAGCAGCAGTATTCTGCACAGGCAGCAGCAAACTGTTGCGGTGTGCTCCGCTTTACCACGCGACTCTATGTATTTCTCTCTCTTCCTCCGACTCTCTGCGCTGTGCTCTCTGTACTGCTCTCTGTGCTCGTCTTTCTCTCTCTCTCTCTCTCTCTCTCTCTCTCTAGCAACTCTTTGCGCTGCATATATGTGTGTATCTGTGTTTGTATTTTACTCCCTTCTTTTTCTTACTCTCTTCACTCTCTGGCTACTATACTGCCTGGGCGCACAGTCCTCGGCATACGCGCGCCTCGCTACCGTACGTGGATTAAAGCTTTTTTCCAGCTTTTCAAAAAGGCGATAGACAAATGACTCTCTCTCTGACACCTCTTTTGTGAAGACTCTTATCCTTTTTATCGATCTATCTGTTTGACAATTTCATGTCCAAACAAAGTGTAGATAAACATTTCTCTCTCACCGATAACAAAACAAGTGTCTATATCGATATATTTTGGGATATGAATTAGGAAATGCGTATGATGAATCGGGCAAAGAAAGTTGGACGTGTATTTATAATAAACTCTCGGTGCGATGATGATCATCGTCAGCGATGATATAAATGAGTCTGAACAGGTGTCTAGACGCCTGTAATACACTTCGCAAAAACTCGTGTATTACATCGACACGGCAGCAGCAGACTTTCACTTTCGCTCGTTTCTCCGCGCGGTGCACAGTACAGCGGACAGTGCAGCAGCACACTCACCACAACGACGGCGGTGCAGCAGTGCAGTGTGTTTTTAATTTGCTGCGCGCGGCGCGATTTGAAACTTCGGATGTGATAAGCGGCGGCGCTGGCGGTTCCCCCCTACTTTGTTTTTTTTGTTCCTTCGCACACGCCCGCGCGCGAAAAGGAAACGCCGCGATTGTGTGTGTTTGCAAGATATCGATTTTTTGGTTGTATTGTCGTTCTCTATATGTATCTCCGGCGTATATGACCCCTATAACACTTTTGAGCTCGTACGGGATGACTTTGATAGCGCAAAAAAAAAAGAATACGAAGATAGACTTCTTTAGAAAGCATATTGCTTCATCCATAGGCACTTCAATCCGTTTACTTCCGATACGGTCCGATAAAAGATATTACACAAAAGGTTTTTAAACTTTCCCCGTGCGTTTAATGGCATTTCCCCGCGAGTAAAATATGGGCACTTGGAGATAACATTTGGGTTCATCTTTTTCGGAAATGTGTTTCGTCTCATGCTCGTGACCTAATTTTTGGGCCAGAACAGTGTACACGATTTGACGCGCATGATATATAAAACGCGTCGTCCCTTTTTTTCGCTTACACTCGAAGCGGAACACACTCTCTACGCGCCTATGGACTTCGCTCGTGCTTTGGCCCTCGGTAATACGGCATATAACTCAAAATCTTTTTATCGTTCTCGGGTGCGGGAACGCAGCAGAGTTGAAAGCTTCTTTCTCTCTCTCTCTCTCTCTCGTCCGGCTGCCTCGAGGAGAGCAAGCAACGACGACAAAAAAAAGAAGCAAAAGAAAAAATCGAGGCTCACTTAAATATGGGCAAATGCGCGCGAGCGCGCGGCGTTTTATACACCGTACAAATCCTTAATGTGGCTCTTGAGACACGTTGTGCAGTGTATACGTATATATACGATTGTACGCAATATACGTATAGGCACATTGCGCGAGCGACGAGGCTTTCACCCTTACCCCTTTTTTCGCGATCACTCTTGTTTTGGCTTTCGTCGTCGTCGTTGCGTCCACTTGACAAGCCTGCCGAACTCTCTTGTATGTAGTGCAACATGGGTACCTACACCCGGGACTCGCAGAAACGACGTTACATGTACCTTTTTTTCGACGTTCACGCGCGGCAGCTTAAAATTTCCCATTCACAGAGAGAGTAATGCCCTTTTCGAGACTTTAAAAGGCAAGTAGTGCTACCGTGTATTATATGAGTTAAAATATCGCCCGATCGATATAACTACGCGTTTGAAAACAATTGCACTAATTGAAAAAAAACGCTCACGTATCTGCTCATAAATTACTCATACATCGAAGGTGCTTCAATCGGGGTTTCGAGTGGTAAAAATAAAAGCGTATATTATTAACATATATGAAAATTAGCAGCTGTCAAAATCTCGAGAAATGTCAGTGTCATTTCTCTTGAATTTTTGGAATAACCATCGATAAAAATCGTCGGTCACCATCGTTAAAATTGTTGCGCTGTCGGGCTCGCGTCAATCGATCGCCTCGATCCAAAACTGACGTTTGGTTCGGTAACTCATGCGATCATCTTTTTTTTGCTGTGCTCGTCCTCGCTGCAGTGCTGCACTGTGAAACTGATGTGTTTGGAAAAACTATAACAATATAAGGCGGTATAATTTATTGCAGCAAGTACTCATTTAGACACACACATACACGAGTTACATTATCATAGGCAGAGCTAGGCCTGGGTACTCGTACACATGTGTAATATAGCGTTTGCCTGCGCGCGAGCACACGCACATTAGGATGACCTTGCTTCGGGTATATGTATAAGAGTATATAAGAGAGCCTATAGACACAACAACGACGCGCACTTAGATGTGTATCTCCTTTCTTGCGAGTCGCCTTTTTAGCGCGCACGTGGCTTTTGTCTCGGATCCATCTCTCTCTCTCGCTCGCTCATAATACGTATACGTGTGCATGTGTGTGTGTGTGTGTGTGTGCGCAAGAGAGCGTCCCACCCCCACCCGTTCGTGACACATATATGTACCTAATCCGCGCTCGCAACGAGCTTATATAGATTTAGCTTACACGCTTTATACTTTCCTGCGATTGATGCACACGCGCTCGTTACGTGTAAGCATCTCGGGCAGCTTCACAATGTACACCACTCTCGACAAAAATCGAAGATCGAAAGTCAAAGGCGCGGATCGTATAATAATAATAATAACTTGTGCTCGAGCTTCGCGAGGCGCGCTTGCGAGTACTCTCTCGCTGCCGCTGCTGCTGCTAACGACGACCTCGTCTGATTAGAACGTCGATGAGCTCGAGCGTAAATATTTGCCTCGCGCGCGCGCGCGTTCTGCACGCCTTCCAGCAGCAGCTGAGACCTTTCGTGCATTATATTGCAACAAAATTTTCTGCGCCGCTATCCATCGACGTTATGATCGCCGCCGCCGTCGTCGTTTTGAAGTATTATATACGCGTGTGCGTGAGCTGTCACTACATCTATGCTGCTGCCTCTTCATCATCATCATCATCATCAACTCAAGGCTAAGAAAGTTATCGGAGCAAGCTCTCTTTGAGCTATGTGTTTACTTACCCGCGATTAAAACTTGAAAGATCGCGCGAGGCCGTTGTGTAGTATAGCCGACGCCGCGCCGCATTTGCGTAATCGCGTAAATGCACTCACTATTCTGCCAGTGCATGCAATATATATTATTATTATTTGCCGCGCGCGTGTTATGCGCCATACGCACCGATATCATTGACTTTTCTCCCCCGACCCGCGCGTGTTTCTGTGCGTGGATGCGGAGCGCCACGGCTACGGCGCTTTTTCCTTTTCCTTTTTTTTGTGTTCTTCGCAAGCCACCACGTGGTAGATAGTTGTAAATACTTCGCTCAAGGATATAGACATTTTTTCGTAGATATAATTCAACGGAGACGATCGAGCGCTTAATAATAATCGCACACTCGCTTTTATACAGATGATCGACTTCGCGATGAATGTCGATATGGTGATGCCATTTCCAAGTTCACATTCAAAGTCGACTTTCTCCGCGAGGCGCAAAAAAACCTGGCCTTATCTCGGCGCGCGAGCGACAATAAACACCGTCGTCTAATGTAATTAGCGCGCGCAAGCTTTTTCGACGATTAACATCGACGCGCAGACGCCCGGGCAAATAAAAGCCGCATCGAGTGGTATTTAAAAAAAAAAAAAAAGAAAAAAAACGAGGAGGAGTACGCGACGAGTTGTGTGTTCAACCTTACGCGACAACGTCGTCGTCGTCGTGTCGCACACTCGCAGCTGTTACATTTTGCAGCGAAGATTTGCATATCACCTGGTGCACCGGGCGCCGAGCTCGAAGCGCGCGGGCTACTGCTATGTAACTACGAAGATATATCCGTCATTTTTATTTTACGCGCGCGAACTTGGACGCGATCTTTTTTTTTTCATACGCGTACATCGAAGAAAAAGCATGAATACACACGCAGGCAGATCGCGAGCGGCGCATTTTGCCTGCGCCAGGCCGTAGCACGAAATCAAGATAAAAATCGCATACGCCAATGATTTATTATGAAAAATATGAAAAGAACGAGGGAATTACGTAACTACGTAGCGCGCGCACATTTTACACCTGAATTCGGATGATCACGGTAAAATTTCATCGTCACGCGCACATTATACACGACGATCGCGGTTTAACACGGCGAATCTTCGTTAAACAAAAATTTATAGCCTTTTTTTTATATATTACACATTATCGAAGTAAAAGTTGGTCGCGTTTACGGATATGAGAGAGAGGCTCTCCACTATGCGATATGCCTACTACACACGACGCGCGTAAATGTATGATTGCTTGTAATTACACACGTCGTAGAAGCAGTAATTAAATCTTCGACACCTTGGAATATACTGATAGTAATTTTTGTCACTTTCAAATGAATTACGTATTATGGTAGCCGTAATGAGTAAAGACTTGCAAAAAGCGAGCGGCAAAACA